GAGCAGCGGGCGGCAGGAGAGGTCTGCGCGCCATGTGGGACCCTCCTCTGGTGGCCGGGAGCAGCCGGGGATCCAACCGGTGCTGCAGAGGTCGCGGGCAGCTTCACAACCCAGCGCTCAACCTCTGCGCCACCGGGGAGGCCCTATATAGGAAATCTTAAAACATCTAAGATGCTACAACTAAAAAGTGAGTTTAGCAAGAGTTTACGTACATAAAATCAGTATGTAAAAAATAGTTGTATTTCTATAGAATAGAAATTGTACTTCTACACACAATGGGAAATTAATATTCAAAACCAATACCAAGTACAATATCATCATGATGGAAAATGTTTAGAGATAAATCTGACAAAAATTATTAAAGACCTAGCTACTGAAAGTTACAGTGAGACCCAAATAAATGGAGAGCTCCATGGTGGTGATTAATCAGAAGACTCAATACCATTAAGCTGTCAGTTCTTCTGAAACATTTCTCTCTAGATTTAATGTAAATCCCAGTGGTCTTCTTTTTGACACTAAAGGTCATACATTCATTGCAAAATGAAACTTTGAAAAGAACAAATTGGAGGATTTAAAAGAATAGAGTTCAAGACTTATAAAGAGCTATAGTAGACAGTATAGTATTACTGTAAATATAAAGAAATAGATCAACAGAACAGAATAGAGAAATAGATCCACACATATGTGTGGATCATTTTGGCAAAGGTGAAAAGGCAATTTAGGGGCCTCCCTGGTGGCGCAAGGGGTTAAGACGCAACCTATGAAGCAATCCTCAGCCACTGTAGCTCGAGTTTGATCCCTGCCAGGGAGCTACCCACATGGCACAGCAGACCTCTCCTGACTTGCCCACTGCACCCCTCAGCAGTGTATTTTGGTCAATCTGCCTGTTCTGTTCCCCACTCTGTCTCTGATGAATCCTCTCACTGCCCCCACACATACACCTCTGGCCTGTACCCAAGTTCCTGTATGCATAAATAAAACCTTTTTATTTATTTATTTATTTTTATTTATTTTTATTTATTTATACAAGCACTGGGTACAGTCAGAAGCACGGGAGGGTGAGAGGACTCACCAGAGCCAGAGCAGGGAGCAGAGCAGGCAGAAGGACCGAAGTACACTGCTGAGGGGAGCAGCGGGCGGCAGGAGAGATCTGCGCGCCATGTGGGACCCTCCTCTGGTGGCCGGGGAGCAGCCGGGGATGGAACCGGCGCTGCAGAGGCTGCGGGCAACTTCGCAACCCAGCGCTCAACCTCTGCGCCACCAGGGAGGCCCAATAAAACCTTTTTAAAAAAAAAAAAAAAGAATGAATGACAAACCATATAAACCATATTTTTTTTTTATTTTCCTTAACTTTTATTATAAAACTTTTCTGGATCATTTTATTTTTTTAATATTTTATTTTATATAATTCTTACATCATTTTTTGCTTTTGCACAATGTATGCATTTTCATTTTGATTATATTCCCCATACAATTGCACCCCCCCCCTTATTTTGACCCTAGTCCTTCCTCTCCCTGCTCCTCCCCCCCCCCCCATGTTGTGTCTCTGGTTTATAGTTGCTTGTTGATTTTGATTTTTACTTAGTATTGAGTAGTCTTTTTCCTGGTCTCTTATTTAGGTTTTCTAAATTCCTGCTATGAGTGAGACCATCCGGTATTTTTCTTTTTCTTTCTGACTTACTTCATTGAGCATGATCCCTTCTAGCTCCATCCATGTTGTCGTAAATTGTATGAGTTTATATTTTTTGATTGCTGAATAATATTCCATTGTATATATATACACATCTTCTTGATCCAGTCATCTATTTTTGGGCATTTGGGTTGTTTCCATAGCTTAGCGATTGTAAATAGTGCTGCTATAAACATAGGGGTGCAGATGCCCTTTGGAATTAATGTTTCTGTGTCATTTGGGTAAATACCTAGGAGTGGAATTGCTGGATCATATGGAAGCTCTATGTTTAGTAGCTCAAGAAATCGCCACACAGCTCTCCATAGTGGTTGGACCAGTTTGCACTCCCACCAGAGTGCAGGAGATTTCCTTTTTCTACACAACCTCGCCAACATTTGTTGTTGCTAGTTTTTTTAATATGTGCCATTCTCACTGGTGTAAGATGGTATCTCATTGTGGTTTTGATTTGCATTTCTCTGATTACAAGTGATGTTGAATATTTTTTCATATGCCTGTTGGCCCTTTGCATTTCCTCTTCAGAGAAATTTCTTTTTAGCTCTTCTGCCCATTTTTTTGACTGGATTATTTTCTTTGTTTTGTTGAGTCTCATCAGCTCTTTGTAGATTTTTTTGATCAGTCCTTTATCATTAGTGTTGTATGCAAAAATGTTCTCCAAGTCGGTGGGGTTTCTCTTTGTTTTGGTTACTGTTTCTTTTGCTGTGCAGAAGCTCTGTAATTTGATGTAGTCCCAGCTGTTTATCTTTGCCTTCACTATCCCTGCTTTTGGTGAGGTGTCTATAAAGATGTCTTTGAGGTACATGTCATGTAGTGTTTTGCCTATATTTCCTTCTATATATGTTATGGTTTCAGGTCTTATGTCTAGTTCTTTAATCCATTTTTAGTTGGTTTTTGTGCATGGTGTGAGGTAGTAGTCAAGTTTCATTCTTTTGCATGTCGCAACCCAGTTTTCCCAGCACCATTTATTGAACAAACTTTCTTGGCTCCAGTGCATATTCTTTGCTCCTTAGTCAAAGATTAGTTGACCATAAATCTGTGGGTTTACTTCTGGATTTTCTATTCAGTTCCATTGGTCCATGTGTCTGTTCTTGTTCCAATACCATGCAGTTTTGATGATTATGGCTTTGTAGTATAGTTTGAAGTCTGGGAGTGTGATGCCTCCATTCCCTTCTTTTTTTTTCAGGAGACCTTTGGCTGTTTGGGAAACCATTATTATTTTGAGTTGGTTATTTGGTAGATACTATCTCAAAAAGTAAACTAAAGCCTTCAAGAAAATAAATTGACAGCATCCCTGGTGGCACAAGGGATTAAAAAGAAAACTAAGGTGCCTCCCCGGTGGCGCAGCGGTTGAGTGCTGGGTTACGAAGCTGCGCACAGCCTCTGCAGCGCCGGTTCGATCCCCGGCTTCTCCCCGGCCACCGGAGGAGGGTCCCACATGGCACGCAGACCTCTCCTGCCGCCCGCTGCTCCCCTCAGCAGTGTACTTCGGTCCTTCTGCCTGCTCTGCTCCCCGCTCTGGCTCTGGTGAATTCTCTCACCCTCCCGCGCTTCTGACTGTACCCAGTGCATGTATAAACAAAAAACAAAAAACAAACAAATAAAATAAATAAATAAAGCATGCCTCTAAAAAAAAAAAAAAGAAAAAGAAAAGAAAACTAAGAAGCTGTCCACAGCCACTGTGCATGAGTTCTATCTATCCCTGACCAAGAAGCTACCCACACGGCACAGCAGACCTCTTCTGTCTTGCCCACTGCTCTCCTCAGCCATGTATTTTAGTCAATCTGCCTGTTCTACTCCCCCCTCTGTCTCTGGTGAATCCTCTCACCCCCCACACCTCTGGCCTATACCCCAGTTCTTGTATGCATAAATAAATAATTCTTTAAAAAAAAAAAGAAACTATTTGTTGCCAATGACAAAATGTAAACTCTCAAGAGAAAACAGCATTTTGGAAAACTTGTATCCAGAACTGTAATCCTAATAGAGTCCTAATACTTTTCCAATGGGATATGTGATACTACAACAAAAGTGTTTTTAAATTATTTGCATTAAGTATGTCAACACTGAAAGATCTACAAACTTGGTGAACTGAGTGCATTACTTTGAAAACACCATGCTTTAGTATGATGCTTCATTCAAAATGCTTAAGGGTTTTAATATAACAATTTAAAATGTCCAACCATAGGGTTTCACTTCCACACTGCAACTAAGCTAAAGAAGATACTAATTGTACAGTTTGTTTATTATCAAAGATGAACATTCACAGTTATCTGAAAGGTTATTTATACCTTGTGTACAAATGTGAAGCTGAATTGTGTAGCTGGAATTTTTTCAAGTTCTTTAAAATAAATGCAGAAGCAGATAAGAAAATTCAGTCATTTTCTAATGAGACAGAGAAGAAAATGACTTGCAAAGACAAAATATAAAAAGATGCACTCTTGTCACTATACTTTTTCTCTTGGAAAATAGTTTTCATAAAAATATTTTATTCCTATTACTCAGCAATCAAAAAAGATAAACTCATGCCATTTGCAGCAACATGGATGGAGCTGGAAGGGATCATGCTCAGCGAAACAAGCCAAAAAGAAAAAGAAATATACAGGATGGTCTCACTCATAGCAGGAATTTAGAAAACCTAAATAAGGGATAAGGAAGAAGACTAATTATAATAGAGTAAAAATCAAAATCAACAAGCAACTACAAACCAGAGATGGGGCGGGGGGGAGAGTAGCATCAAAACAAGGGTGGTGGGAATTTTATGAGACTATAACCAAGATGAAAATGCATACATTGTACAAAAATGAAAAATGATGTATATAAAATAATATATATATTATTCCTATTAACATGTAGGGTTGTTAATATTCTAAATGAAGAGGTATTTTTGAACTTTCGATCTCTAGTATGGCAAAAATTGATAGCTATGATAGATATAACGCACAAAATTATCTTTAGGATCCTCATTCATCTGTAAGAGTGTGTACAGATCATAAAGACAAAAATTTCAAGAATCGCTGATTTAAACAGACCCTTGGACTCAGAGAGACGGTGTGAGAAAGGCCACTCAATGCAGAAGCAAAAAAACGCCAGAGCCAAGAGCCACCTGCAGGAGGGTCGGGACAGTTCCAGCTCTCAGGCCTGGTTCTCAGGACTTCTGGCCTCAGTCCAGTGAGTGAGTGGGTGGGGAGCCAAGCAAAGGGAATATTCATCTCCACTTTGCCTTATCACAGGCTGTGCCAAGTCCTTCACCCTGTACACGCCCAGTTCTAATTCCAGGACACGACTGTCCGGATAAGTCAATCAGTGTCAGGGCGTTCCGGGTGCAAAGTCTGCACTGGGTTTTAGATTCTTCCCAGACCAGGAGGATCCGGGCTATGCCGCCCCCAACCTTCCTGCTGCTGCTGTCGGGGGCCCTGGTCCTGACTGAGACCTGGGCAGGTGAGTGCTAACTTTGGAGGGGATGGCTTGGGCCAGGAGGAGCGAGAGGGCCGCCCTGCGGCACAGGACCCGGGAAGGGTCCCTCGACCGCCCTCTCCTCAACCTGCACCAAACCCCAACACCGGCTGGTCACCTGGGGTATCCTGCTCCTCCCTTCCACTCACGCCTATGCCCTGCCCTTCTCCTGTTGCCCCTTTTCGGTCTCACTAGCACCCTCGCCCTCTCCCCCTGCCCGGCCCCTTCATCCTCGGACCCAGACACTGGCCCCCAGAGGAGAGTTGGGGTCTCAGCCCCTCCCCTCCCCCAGGCTCCCACTCCGTAATGTACTTGCACACCGCGATGTCCCGGCCCGGCCCCGGGGAGCCCCGCTTCATCTGCGTGGCCTACATGGACGACACGCAGTTCCTGCGGTTCGACAACAACGACCCGAGTCCAAAAATGGAGGCAACAGTGCCGTGGATGCAGCTAGAGAGGTCGGAGTATTGGGAGAGCCAAAAGCGGATTGTCACGAGCCACGTCCACATTGCCACACTCCGACTGAACAACCTGCGGATGTACTACAACCAGAGCGGAACAGGTGTGTGATCCCACCTACAGGCAGGAGTTACCCTCCAGTCTCTGGGGCCAAGCTTTCCCTCGAGGCCTTGGAACTTTTACCCTGTTTCTGTTTCAGTTTTTTGGGTTTTTTTTTAATATTTATTTATTTATTTATTTATGCTTACAAGAGCTGGAGTAGACAAGAGAGATGCGGGGGTGAGAGGATTCACCAGAGTCAGAGTGGGGTGCAGAACAGGTAGACTGACTGAAATGTATTGCTGAGGGGAGCAGCCTGCAAGACAGGAGAGGGTCTGCCTCACTATGTGGGTTTCTCCCTAGCCCGGCATCAAACTCATGCTGCAGAGCCTGCAGATTGCTTCACAGTGCCGTGCTTAACCCCTTGCACCACCAGGGAGGTCCCCTCTGTTTTAGTTTATTACAAATCACCAACAGCTGTGCTTGCCTGGGCATGGGGGAGGTGCTAAGTGGGCGCTGCTGACCTGGTGGGGTTGGCCAGGGTCTCACACCTTGCAGGTAAGGAATGGCTGTCAGGTGGGCCTGGACGGTAGCCTAAGCCTGTTCAATGAATTCGCCTACGATGGCGTTGATTCCCTCACCCTGATGGAGGAGCTGCGTGCCAGGACCCAAGCGGGCATGGAGGTGCAGACCTTGGAGGATGAGTGGGAGAAGGTTGTTGCCTTTGAATTCAACACTCGCCACCTAGAACAGGAGTGTGGCCCCTGGCTCCAAAGACAACTGAAGAAAGGGAACTGGACACTGCGTACAAGTAAGAGTTGCCTCGGGGCCTCCCCTGGGCCAAGGCTAGAGTCCCGCACAGGGAAGCAAAGTGGGCTCAAGGCCAGATACCACCCTCCTATGGCCCCAGAAGGTGAGGAGATGCCTGGGTGTCCAGATCCCTGAAAGTGACCCTGGAGTGCCAGCCTTTCCTGGGATCAGTTAAGGAATGCACTCTCTCCAGGTGAGGAACAGTCCTGAAATAACTGATTCTCTCTGATCCTGGCGGTGTTCTGGTGAACCATGTATTTCTTGCTCACATCTGGTTCTCAGAGGTCTTAGATTCTGACTCCAACTTTCCTGAGTCACTTGGGCCTCTATCCACGTCAAGACGAGAAGTCTCTAGTCTCTCCCTCAGAGCCCTGCAGCCTGCTACCCTGAAATGTTGCACCCTGATTCTAGAACTGTCCAAGGATTAGGAGACCATCCCAGTGATCCAAGGCCAGGCTAGTGCTCAGTTTTGCGCTCTGTCCACCCAGTGCAATTATCCTGTCCATTCTCAGGATGGTCACATGAGGATGCTTCAGTGGCCTATGAAAGTAACCCAAAGTATAAATTTTCAGAACCCCCAAAGACATTTGTGACTCACCACCCCACCTCTGACCATGAGGTCACCCTGAGGTGCTGGGCCCTGGGCTTCTACCCCGCGAACATCACCCTGACCTGGCAGCGAGATGGGGAAGACCTGACCCAGGACACAGAGCTGGTGGAGACCAGGCCTGGAGGGGACAGAACCTTCCAGAAGTGGGCGGCTGTGGAGGTGCCTTCTGGAGAGGAGCAGAGATACACATGCCATGTGCACCATGAGGGGCTGCTGGAGCCCCAAGTCCTGAGATGGGGTAAGGAGGGGGTCATGGGTACAGAGGCTTATCTCAGGGGCATCGGGAGCCCTTTGAAGACCTTTAGCAGGATGGGGACTAAGGCCAGAAAGTTAGTGTCTCACCTTCTTTTCCCTTCCAGAGCCACCTCCTCAGTCCTCCATCGCCACTGTGGGCATCATTGCTGGCCTGGCTCTCCTTGGGGCTGTGCTCACTGGAGCTGTGATTTGGAGGAAGAAGCGCTCAGGCAGAGAAACCCTTATATGAGGTCTGAGATTTCTTCTCTAATGTCTGCTTGATACTGCGAGGCATGATCCCACACACATGTCCTTTCTCAGCTGAGAGCCGGGTTTGCTGACACTTTTTTGTAAAGCGCATGAGACTCCTTAGTATGACAAATGAAGGACAAATATTTCAACTTGATGACTTGGTCGTGGAGACCTCACTTGAGCAGTGGCAGGTCAAAAGGAAATGTCCCTGCTAAGGACGGAGGAGGCTGGCGCAGCTCCTACACGTGCTCTCTCCTCATGTTCCCTGATCCTGTCCTGGAGCCCAGGACAGGCCAGTTCTCAGGACTTCTTGTTCCTGCCTCCTCCCTGGCCTCTCACAAAATGTTTTCTTCCTATAGGTGGAGAAGGAGAGAAATACTAAGTCTGAGGTAGGAAGGCCCTTTGAAAAGTGTAGATGGAATCCATGGGGGAGCTCACCCACCCCATAATTGCTCCTTTAGTCTCATCTCCTGGGCACTCTAAACAGGTTCTGTTTTCTGATTTTGCCCCAAGCAGCTTTTAAAGTGAAACTCTGGAAGCCTGAAGGGAGGGAAGGGGCAGACAGGACATGACCAAGTAAGGCAGTGGATTAATGTGGACATTTTTGAGCACGCAGTGGGCTGTTGAGCTTGTCATCACCTTTGTGAACTGCTTTGTTCATGACATTCTTTCCTGGGGTGAGCTACCTGCCCTTGTGGAGGACTGAGTGATGCAAAATGTGTTCAAACTTCGGTTTTGTGACTTGAAGACTACCCAACTTCTCTGTTGCAAAGGGCATCTGCATGTGTCTGCCTGTGTCCTATAAGCACAATGTGGGGAGGTGGGAGACTGGCCCAGCCCTGCCCACCAGGCCCCTCCCCACACGGACCTGTGTCTCTCCCTGATGACTTTCCTGCTCCAGCAGAGGCGCGGCTCGGTCGTCTTCATCCCTGTCTTAACTTCTGTTGCCCTGAGATGCAGCTTCTCCTTTATTAAATAGAATCTGATACTAAACAGAAAGGGCTGGAAAAAACCACATGCAGTCAGATTCTGGCAGCAGCCATAGCAGCTCTTGTCTTTTCTGGCTCTCCTCGCTTCTTGGGAAACATGGCTTCCAGTGTGGCTGTCTCTGAAGGTGTCAGAAAAGTGTCCAATGACATGAAGGTCCATAAGTCATCAATGCCACAGGAAGTGGAGAAGCGCAAGAAGGTGGTGCTCTTCTGCCCGAGTGAGGAGAGGAAGAACATCATCCCAGAGGGCAAAGAAATCCTGGTGAGCAATGTGGGCCAGATCATGAACAACCCTTACTCACCTTTGTCAAGATGCTGCCAGACAAGCACTGTGCCCTCCATGATGCAGCCTAAGAGACCAAGGAGAGCAAGGAAGAGGACCTGATGCTTATCTTCTGGGCCCCTGGGTGTGCAGCCTTAATCGCAAAATCATCTAAGCCAGCTCCAAGGAGAAGCTGACCTGGATCAAGTGTGAATTAAGAACTGCTGGGGCCTCCCTGGTGGCATAAGGCGTTATGTCTCAGTACTATGAAGCTTTCGGCAGTCACTGCAGAGCAGTTCCATCCCCGGCCAGGGAGCTGACCCACATGCCGCAGCAGACCTCTCCTGACTCGCCTGCTTCTCCCCTCAGCATTTATGTTTCAGTAGATCCACCTGTTCTGCTCCCCACTCTGTCTCTGGTGAATCCTCTCACTCCCCATCCCGCACCTCTAGCCTGCACCCTAGTTCTTGCATGCATAATTTAAAAAAAGAGAAAAAAGCCTATACCCTGGCAGAGAAGCTGGGGGTAACTGTCATCTCCCTGGAGAGCAAGCCCCTTCCACCCCCATTGCCTAAAGCATCTGGCTGCCCCAGACCTGCCCACAGGGGTTGCAGGCTGCCCCATCCTGCCAGACCAGAGAGGCTAGGGAATCCCAGCAGGGGGAGGACAATGCCTCTACCTAGTTGCCAAAAGCCCCCCCAACCCCAGGCCTTCTTCCTCCCTCCATCCCTGACAGATCCGGCCTTCCCAACCCACTTTTGATCTTCTGATCCCTCTTGGGTTTAAGCAGATCACATTCCCCACCAAGGGAATTATGATTGTTTCGTTTTCAGTTCTGATCTCCTCTGGGTGCCCCATCTGCAGCAGCAAGAGGTATATTGGGGTATATTTTTTTAAATAATACCCCAAGCCCTCACTGTTCCTCCCCTTCTGTGCTGCCACCTTTCAACCACAATAGCGACCCTGTGCTGTCTGTTTGGTTCTGTGTAGAAATGGGATGTCGTAGAGATGATCCCCTCCCCACACCGCCTGGTTCCCCTCCCCACTCCCCTGGTCGTGGCCACTCATGGAGGCAGGACTAGTAAGGGACCTTTAATTAAAAAGGAAAAGCACAACAATAACAAAAAAACCCTGTGTATATATGTTTGTTTCTTCAAATCCTTGTCACAAGGTGGGGCTGTTGGGTAAAAGAAGAGAATATTAAATTTTTAGAGAATGAAAGGAAGCACTGAGAACCGTCCAGGATCTGAATGTTTCCTGTGCTAGGCCTGTGCAGGAGAGGCTGTGAGGAGCCGAGGGGGACGGGGCCTGTGTCCAGTCTGGGCTCAGTGCATCGTGGGCTTTGAAGTGTTCACTTCTCAGGAGTCATCTCTCTGTCCCTTTGTTCTTGTCCCTCAGGAGCACCTGTCACAGCAGGGCCTGTGGTCACAGCAGGGTCTGTGATCACAGGGATTCAGACACCACCTGAGCCTGTCTGTCTTCAGGACCCTGGGTAGCAAGGACTTCATGTGGTTGAGTCAGCCCAGGCTCAGGCCCTCAGCTGCCATTTTCTGGGTATTTATTTTTATCAGGAATTATGGTTGTTTTGTGTTCAGTGCTGATCTCCTCCTCTGGGTGCCCCCATATCCAACAGCAAGAGGTGGTTAGCTTGTCATTGTCCCCACAAGGCCCAGTGTGGCACCTGCACACGGGAGTCTGTGGTGTTCGAATAGATGTTTAGTCTGGTCTAGCTCTTGCCCCCCTGACAGTTCCCTGGATTATTCCTTCCATTTCTCTCCAACCTTTTTTAATGCCAGATTCCGAATTAGCAGAAAGGAGGGATCCCATAATTTCTCATTTTAGATAAATTCCTATTATGTTCCAATCTTCTCTGTTCACCTGTCCTCTCTACCTGCCTTTAGCTGTAGTGATCCTAGTGCTGGAAACAACTAAACTTATGGATTTATAAATAAAGTTCAAAATTCACAGCTGATTGGAATGTGGGGCCCACAAACCCAGAACCCTTCTTTTCTAAAAGGGGAAATGAAATTGTGTGCTGTAGTGTGCAGGGGGGTTGCAGTGGGAGGAGAGGAAGGAGAGAAGAGCAGCACTTACAAGAAAAATAGAAGGTGATGAGCTAGAGTAGCCACAAAACTGCATTTGAACTGAGGCTAAATTAATAAAGATATTGTCTCTAGAATAAGGAGGTGTTCTACATTTACTATTTATTCAAATAACATTTGCCAAATGTCAGATATTTGGCACACAGTATTTTTGCATTTAGGAATATCCGTGAACTAAAAACAAGACAATATTTGCTAACCTGGTAGAGTATATGTCCAATTGAGGAGAGCCAGAGTAGTTTTTTTTTTTTTTTTTTCAGCATAATGGGGTTGGTTTCCTGTTGTAAAAAACTATCATGGTAAATTAAAGTAAAAAAAAATTATTATCTTCAGTTTTGAAGGTCAGAAGACTAAGATGTGTCCATAAGTTGTGTTTCCTCTGGAAGCTCTGGGGGAGAATTAATTTCCTTAACTTTTTCAACTTTTAAACAATGCCCGCCTTTTCTTAGCTTGTGTCCTTTCCTTCAACTTCAGTGTCAAAAACTTAGAATCTTCTGTCTGAACTCTGCTTCTACCCTTACCTTCTTTCTCCATCTTCCTTATCTTTGGACTATATCATTGGGCACACCCAGCTAATCCACGATAATCTTCCCATATCAAGATCCTAAGTTTAACCACACATATAAAATCCTTTCAGACTATAACATACTATACTTCCTGGAGGCCAGAATATGGACATCTTTAAGGACGATTATTCAGTCTAGTAACACAATGATGTGCTCATGTTAGAATGTGGTGAGTGCCATGGAAAGTATACAGTGGGGAAGGCCATGCAGAGTGTGTGGGAAGAGAGAGGATGGCTATGTAGGCTACATTTACTCATGTAGGTATCATCGAAAAGGTGATATTTGAGGAAAGATCTCAAGAACACCAAGATTATATGAAGTTGTTTGTGGCAAGTTCTTTCTAGGCAGAGGAACCCCAGTGCAAATGCACTAGGACAAGAGCAGCCGTGTGTTCTGGGTGCAGTAAGGAGGCCAGTGTGGCTGCAACAGAATCATCAAGACAAGGTCACAGTCAGACCAGGAGGCTGTGAGCAGGATTTTGTCCTTTCATTAACTGAGACAGGCAATTACAAGTGAGTTTTGAAAAGAGAGACATGGTATAACTTTTCTTTTAAAAGAATCACTTTGGGGCCTCCCTGGTGGTGCAACCACTTAAGCCACAACCTATGAAGCTGTCCGCAGCCTCTGCAGCACGAGTTTGATCCCCAGCCGGCCAGGGAGCAACCCACATGGTGCAGCAGACCTCACCTGTCTCGTCCCCTGCTCCCCTCAGCAGTGTACTTGGGTCAATCTGCCTGTTCTGCTCCCGAACACTCTGTCTCTGGTGAATCCTCTCACCCTCCACACCTCTGGCCTGTCCCCCAGCTCTTGTATGCATAGATAAATCTTTAGAAACAAAAAAGGATCACTTTGGCTGTTGCTTTGGAAACAGAATCTAGTAGTGTAGGCCAACGATATAGTAGGGAGAATTACAGAAAACCACTTCAGTGTCCCAGCTTAGAGATATTGATTGCTTGGCCTGGGATGTAGGCAACAAAGTAGTAGGAGTGATTAGATACTTGATTTATTTCAATGATGGACTTTTTGCAGCGTTTCCTAATGGATAGAACTTGGAGTATGAGAGAGAAAAAAGGGAGTCA